CATTCTGTCCTTTTCATCACATTGCAGATCCTCGGTTATTACGTACATGGCATATCTGTGCATGTAACAGTTGGTATCGGAGCTTCTGCACGTGAGTCAGGACACCCTGATCTGACACGTGTGCGGGGACCAAAAAAGCTAGTTAGTCTTTATTGGTTGATTAGGACATACTAGTTAGACGCCCAAATCACGATCTTGACCTCACTACCGAAAATCGATTTTTTTTTTCTTTTCTTGGATTTTATTTTCTCGCTATTCTGTTGTGGAAAATCGCAAAATCGCAACATCTGAAATTCCCATTTTCGTTTTTCTTCTGAAAATTCAAAATTTCGCTTTTAAAAATCCGGAATATTTTTCTTTTCAAAAATTTCGATTTCCTGTTGCATTTCCCGTTACTTAGAAATTCGGAATATTTTCCTTTCTGAAATTCGTTTTCTGAAAACGGTACGGGAAAAACCTCCTGCAGTATTATTTTCCAAACTGCGAATATTCTCATCGGAATAAATTCGAATATTTGTCATTTCGGTTCGGATTTTTTTTCGCGGTTCTGGGATTCTGACGTTCAGTTCTATAAATCATTGGCAGTCTAAAAGTCGAAATTTTCCTTTCAGTGATCATTTCGCACTTCAAGGGAGGTTGGGAGACCTACCGAACTTGCAAAAATTGGGATTTTTTTATTATTTTTCTCGAATTTTTTTGCAAAGTTCGAACTTTTCTTGTTTGATTAGTGGCTCCTTATCTAAGTGATTGGTCGGGCGATTATCCCACCCACCCCTCCCCACCTATGTTGTTGCCATCTCACGCCTTTCCGTTTCTGTTGGTATCCGGGTACCCCCCGCGGCGGCATTGGTGAGTTGCCACATCAGCAGCCCACGTCAGAAGACCACGTCAGCAGACCACGTCAGCAGGACACGTCAGCAGCAAGGGATACCACATCAAAAGGCCCCCGCCCGGTCTATGCTGTTGCGATCTCAAACAGCAGCCATGGACCAGAGGCCCGGGGAAGCAGACGAGGCCTATCAGGCCCGCATGTTAGCCTGGAGTACCGAGACAAAGAAACGGGCAGATGACGCTGCAGCAGCAGCGAAGAAGAAGGCCGAGGATGCCGAGCAGGCACGTCTGCTGGCACTTGAACAACAGCGCCAGCACGACGAGGCAGCAGCAAGGGCTGCCGATGAAGAAAGAACACAGCGTCGTGAGAAGATATTCACCGGAGAGCGGGCATTACTTACCATGGCAGGAGAATGGCGAAGCGAGGCCGAGAATAGCCAGTTGGAGGATAGCGCAAACAAGATAGCGCTCCTCCTCTCGCATCTCACGGATCTCCTGGCAACCTGCATTACACAGCAGGCGGAGATCCTTGCTCTCGACAACTCGGTAGCTCATCTCCAAGACCGCCTTCCGCGGGTGGAGCAGCGACCAGTCGCCGCCGCCGATGCAGGCTCTTCCAACACTGCCGACCGCCTCACCGCGTTGGAGATGCGCGTCGGCTCCCTCCAGGATGGCGCACAGTTACAGCAGACCACGACGCAACAATTGCAGCAGCGGATCTGCACTACAGCCACCACCTCGAGTCCGGAGCCGCGCGAGACAGCTCCTAAGTTCGATGGGCAAGAGATCTTCCACGAGTCAATCAAGACAGATCCAATTCCATGGTTTTGCAAGTTCGAGCTCACGCTGCAGCTCCACAACGTCAAGGAAAACAAGCACCACGCTTACTTGTACTCTCGCTCAGGGGGCGCGTGTCAGGCGTGGTTGGACAACTTGTTGTCCAAGTACGGAGTGGTAGCAGCGGACTTGCACACCATGATCAGCTGGGATGATCTGAAGGCGGCGTGGCACAAGCGGTTCCAGGTGGAGCCGCCAGAGATCAAAGCCATGGACAAGTGTTGCATACCGTATAGGTGCAGACCAGAACAAGAACCGACCTTTCAATACAAAGTATAAAATAGCACAGCGGAAGACTTAGATACCAAT